GACAAAAATCGTGCACCTATGGATGAGGACAGTGGGTGGGGAGTGAGGGCAGGGGTGGGGTGGGAACTGGGAGGAGGGGAATTATGGGGGGAAAAAAGAGGAACAAATGTAATAATCTGAACAATAAAGATTTAATTAAAAAAAAAAAAAAGTTCTGTCCCATGCTCCAGTGCCTTTAATCAGAAAATAGTGTGGTATGGTGAGAAAAGTATGGCCAGACAGAGTTAGGTAACAGATAGAGTTAGGTTCAAATCCAGATTCCAGTACTCTTAGCTGAGTAAACTGGTTTCTTTTAAGAGAAGAAAACATCACTTTTCTCTCAGGGTGCTATGAAGCATTACATCAACATGTATAAGGCATCTAGCCCAATGGCTTGCACCTAGCAGGTACTCAATAAATGGCCACTGTTATTATTACTATCATTATTATTATCTTGGCAGGATGGCAAGGGCCATCATCACTAGCTGTGACCCCAGCCAACTCATCTCGAAGACTAGCAGACTTTCCCTGCTGCCCTAAGAATTATGAAAGAACACAGACTCCTCCAGTACAGTTCATTAACCAGGCTTCTCAGAAACCATCCTTCAGCTTTATCAGCCCTGCAGACTGATTCTTACCTCTCTCTATTCTCCAAAGGCATAGGCCTCTACTACAAAACCTAGAGTGGGGGGAGGGGAGGGAAAGGCCAACAACTGCATCCTAACCGTGGGAGGATGGCAAGCAGGTTTTCTGTCCGGGGAGGCCCATAAAAAGGCATTTCATTACACTGTGTGCTTCACAGAAACCTTGGGCAGAAGATATTGCTGATAAATGAAAATTGACCTGGGCTGCATCCATTTAGCACATCCTATGCCATGCTACGCCCTTGGATTGGAACTTCTGAAAGGCCCTTGACAAAAAAATCGACACTCTTGCTACACAGCAGCATTTCAGAAGGTTTCTGGCAAACAGCCCACTTGGCTGCTAGGAATTAAAGCAAAGACCTGCTGGCACCTGTGGTTATCACCCCCTCATGATGGGTTTGGGCAAAGTCATCACTAGCATTCATCTTCAGACCATCTTTTCAGAGCCCCATCTCTTCTGCCGACTTGTTCTACCAGTCTCCTCATGTCCGCTGCAGTCATGCCACTGGCACCAATCTAGGGCTCTTCAAAGGAGGACTTTTTTTCTCTTTTTTTGGTATTTTATTTATTTTTATTTTTTATTGAATTTATTAGGGTGACAATAAATTACACAGGTTTTAGGTGCACAATTCCACAACACATCATCTGTACACTGTATTGTGTGTTCACTCCAAGACAAGTCTCTTTCTGTCACTATTTATCGTCCCTATACCCCTCCTGACCCCATCCCCTGCCCATCCCTGGCAATCACTGTTGTCCTGTCCATGAGTTTTTTCTCTCTTTTTTTCTTTTTCGCTCAACCCCTCCACCAACACCCATCCAAACCCCCAACTCACTCACTCCCGTCAACAGCTAACAATCAGCTCTCTATCTGAGTCTGTCTCTATTTTGCTTCATTGGATTCCACACATGAATGAAATCATATGGTACCTATCTTTCTCTGACTGGTTTATTTCACTTAGTATAATGCTCTCTAGGTCCATCCATGCTATAAAAAAAGCTAAGATTTCCTTCTTTTTGATAGCCAAGTAGTATTCCTTTGTGTAAATGTACCACAGCTTTTTTATCCACTCATCTACTGATTGGCACTTGGACTGTTTCCATATCTTGGCTACTGTTAATAATGCTGCTATGAACAGAGGGATGCATATATTTTTTCTGATTGGTGTTTGGGGATTTTTAGTATATAATCCCAGAAGTGGATTGCTGGCTCAAATGGCAGTTCCATTTTTAATTTTTTGAGATAGCGCCATAGTGCTTTTCACAGTGGCTGCACATCTGTATTTCCACCAACAGTGTGCACAAGGGTTCCTTTTCTCCACATCTTTGCCAACACTTGTTTTTGGTGATTTATTTATGACAGCCATTCTGACAGGTGTGAGGTGATACTTCATTGTGATTTTAATTTGCATTTCTCTGATTAGTGACATTGAACATCTTTTACATATGTCTATTGGCTATCTGTATGTCCTCTTTGGAGAAGAGTCTATTCAGGTCCTTTGCCCATTTTTTAAAAAATGATTGTCACCTGTGCTTTATCCTCTTTATTTCAGACATGATATTTGCTATATTGCATAGATGCATTGTTTTGGTAGAAGCATTATTATTATTATTTGCTATTATTAATCCTCATCCGAGGATATTTTTTCCATTGATTTTTAGAGAGAGTGGAAGAGAGAGGGAAAGACAGAGAGAAATATTGATGTGTTTCACATCGATTGGTTGCCTCCTGCATGTGCCCAGGGCCCGGGCCGGAGCCTGCAACCACAGTGCGTGCCCTTGACTGGAATCGAACCTGAGCCCCTTTGGTCCGCAGGCTGATGCTCTATCCACTGAGCAAACTGGCTAGGGCTGCCCATTTTATAACTGGATTGTTTGAGTGGGGTTGTTTTTGTTGTTTTGAGTTTTATAAGTTCTTCATTAATTTTGGATATTAACCCCTTATCAGATATATCATTGGCAAATATATTCTCCTATTCAGTGAGTTTTCTTTTCATTTTGTTGATGCTTTCTTTTGCTATGCAAAACTTTTAGTTTGACAGACTTACAAGAAATTGTTAATTTTTTCTTTTGTTTCCCTTGCCTGAGGAGTTGTATCAGAAAGAAATATTGCTAAGAGCAAGTCTGAGATTTTACTGTTTGTTTTCAAAGGATACTTTAAGTGAACAATTGCTCTAGGCCTGCCTCTTCCTGGGTCCCTTTTATGTCACATATCTTTCCTTGAGATAATGTAAGGCTTGCGAGTCTAAAGGTGACCTTCCTTTTCCTACCATAATCCTTAAAGCTTTTGTTGCTATGGCTTGGTTCTGAATGACATCTGGGAGACATGGAGGGGTGAGAAAATACTTTCCCACTTCCCTACCCCTGGGTCCAGCAGGAGCAGAGCAACGAGACAAGAACTTGGAGTGCTACCACCTCCAAAACAACAAGACAGAAATTTTGTTTTTCCCGTTCCTCTCCGCCCCTCCTCCACACCCCCCACTCCATGAAGGTAGCAAAAAACACATTTAGTCAGGGCCTTGGGTTTCTGGCACTTTCTCCTCTGGGACCTCTGCCTGAGCCATATGAAACTTCTGCCCCTGGCACTGCTGTTTAAAAGCTGCATCCATAAGCATGGAATAAATGGTGCCTTCCCTGGATCCTAGGGAGTTCCTCTCTGAGGCCTAACACTGAGAGTTCCTCTCACAGAATTCTCTTTCCTCATCAGTTTTGGTCCCCAATTAAACATGCTCTAGTCATTTAGGAACTGTGGCCACTGTGGTGTGTACACTACTCAAGTGCAGCCTCTGGGATCATCTGAATCCTGAAGAGATTCTAGTTCCACCAAAGGGCCTTAGAAAACTCAAAGAATTCTTTCTAAAGGTGCTTAAGAAAGTGCTATAAAACCAGTTATTTGGAAAGGCCATGCACTTGACTCAGGACTCTACATTCTCTGAAAAGGAAAGAGCTTCAGAATGAAGAAGGCTGGAGGAATGACGTCCAGCCATCCTAGCTCTTGTCTGACAGATTACTTTGGAGAGCCCCTGCTGCCCGTGCTCCCCACCCCTCATCCCACAAGAGCACTCACGTTGTAGGCAGTCAGCGTTGAGCAGGTCCTGGCACTTCTCATGGCACTTGACTCCACACTCGCTGCAGCGCATGCCCTGCCGGGCAATGCCCCAGAGCAGGCCTTCGCACTCGTAGCAGTAAGTCGGGGTAGTGGCAGTCCAGACCTCAAAGTTGTGGGGTGTGGTGCACGAGATGGGGTAGATTAAGGCCTGCAGGGTTTTCTTATACACATGGGATTTCTGAAAGATATATACCATTACCCACCAGTGACTTTAGGTCTCTGCTGGGAGATACCAGAATGAGACCTTGTAGGGCAATCAAGACCATGGTTTCCCCTCTGGTAGTAGAAAAGATGCTCTAGAATGACGCAGTGCATAGTCCAGCCTGGCAGAAAGAAGCCCCCATATGTTGTGTGCTCCAGGTCATGAAAGACAGGTCTGACCTGAATACTGATTCTGAGCCTTGCCCCAGCATTCAAAGTTTCTTGGGAAACATAGGATTCTAGACCCACTATAATACCCCGAGTTCAGTGGTCCGTACTCCCACATGAGACTTGGGCTTACCCCTGGTCTGGTCTCTCGCCTTTCCTAGTGTGGAAGTCTGAGACCCAGTGCTATCTATCTGTTCCATTAACGATGTATGCCCTACACTGTTGAGTTCTCAATTCGTATGGCTACAGAGGTGATCACCAGTGGATGGCTAGATCGTTAGGCCAGTGGATTCATGAAAGCCCAGGGGTTACTTACCAGCTCTTCATCCTTGAAAGAGGTACGGGTAGCCATTGCAGAAGTAATCCCTGCCTTCCGGGACTGGACCAACGACTGTAAGGGAAGACCTATTGTCAGTCCTGGCTACCACCAAGGACTGGCAAAGTCCTGGGAAGGGAGTTTCAGTGATCAAAGCAAACTGACTATAACTTACTGCCTTCTATTTTTACCCATGGGTAATAGATAACAGCATCCCAGGTTAAGATCCAAAACCCAAGGCCCTCAGAGGACTGTTCTAACAATATTAGAAAAGCACTTCTCTCAGGGTATCTATCATCCAAAGGTATCTTACCCCTTGTTTATAGAAAGGCCAAGAAAAATGAAAAGTTTAGAATTACAGTAGGAAGTAGGTCATTAAGAATAGAATAAACACACAACTCTGTCAGAGTTACATTCAAGAGCCATCCCTGAGAACGATTCCATGCTATCACCTATCCCCTGGTACCACATCATGCCACACAACCCCAGGTGGCTTTAGATGTCAGCAGCTCAAATGAGCAGGGAACTACGAAAGTAAACGGGGCAATGTACCCTCAGCCAAATCAAGCAGTGCAAGGGGGTAAGTATGAGAACTAGGGCTGCACCCTGCTAGCCTGTCTCTTGTATAGAGGGGCCTCATGTATGCCAGGCCCAAGCATTAGGGGCAGCCCATGAAGAGACACATGGTTTCCCTAACATAGTGGACATTGGGCAGACAGAATAAAAATATTAGTCTAAGTAGGAAGAACAGTTAGGAGGGGCCGGGTGGTTTGAAATATAGATTCTTAATAGTGGTTAGAAAGGGGCTCTGGAGACACTCACCATTGCCTGTGCAGAGGAAAGCAGAAAAAGGAACAACATGATGTTAAAGCTACCCCAAGGGCATTAAAAAAATAAAAAATAAAACACCTTCAGAGGCAACTGAGAGGTTCTTCCCTATAGTCCAATGTAGGAAACACATTCCAAAACTCTCTGCCTCTATCCAATGGAATTGTCTTCAATTCAACAGGTAGCCTGGGTGTAAGGCCGAGCTTCTATTAGACGAGTTATGCCAGAAAGTGAAATATAGAAAAGGTTAAAAGATGGAGGAGGGAAAATAAGAACTGAATGAGACGCTGCTATCCAAACAGTTAAGCAAAGAGGAGGTGGTGGGCAAGAGGGAGTAGAGAATGAGAAAACATAGGTAGAAAAGAAAGAAAGAAGAGAAAAAAGGGGGGACAGAAGACAATGAAAGACTGTAATAAAGAAGAGATAGCATCAGAACATATCTTCATCCAACCAGCTTGATGAAGAGTTGTTGGGAGAAGAGGTGCATTTGAAAGGAAGAAAAAAAGAAACAAGAAGATACACAATAGTAGGAAAGAAAAAATGATTAAGAAAAAATGGCAGAGGATAGCTCCATGCAGCCAACTAAAGAAAAAGAAACTCGTGGGTGGAAAAACAGCAGAGAATGGAGGAGAAATGAGAAAAGAGGTGGACAGAAAAACAGACTGAACAGGGAGAGGAAAAGAGGAGCAGAAATGGTAATAAGAAAAAGGGTAAAGTCTTACTGAACATCTAGTTTCAGAGCTTTGGGAGAGCCTGTGCTCCACTCTATCCCCACTATCCACTCCGTTACGGAAAATTCCTTGAGCTAATCCTGCCTCAGGACGTACAACCCAAAGTGAGAATTTCTGATCATCCCGGAGGTCCTGAGATCAGCTTTAACGCCTAAGCCCATTTCAATTCAATTCTACACATTGTTATCATTACCTCTCAGTGACAGACACTAAGAAGAACTAGGGGCACAGAGATAGCCTAGAAAGCCTATGTCTTGGGAGGAGACTGCCACTTGACCTCCAAGAAGTTGTACCAGCCATGCTCATCACAGGCCAAGCTCAATGATCTAGGTCAGAGCTAGAGGCAGTTTCCATTCTAAGTCATCAAAAAAGGCTATAGAGATACCTAGAAGAACTAGATACCTAGAATATAACCACAGAGCCCAGCTTTGAGGGCCTAAGCCTTAAATGTTCCAGGTGGGAGCTTGAGCTCATGAAGAAACTCGGGTTCTATAGGGAGTGAGGTAAAACAAAGTCTCACTGAAGCCATCTCTAAGTCTCAGTAAGTCTTTAAATGATTGGTCTTCTGCCAGGCTGGTGTGGCTCAGTGGATGTGTCGACCCATGAACCAGCAGATCATGGTTCAATTCCTGGTCAGGGCACCTGCCCAGGTTATGGGCTCGATCCCCAGTAGGGGACATGCAGGAGATAGCCAATAGATGATTTTCTCTTATCATTGATTTTTCTATCTCTCTCTCCCTCTCCCTTCCTCTCTCTGAAATTAATAAAAATTAAAAAAAATAAAATGATTGCTCTTCAGACCAATACTTGTCACTAAATGGACCACTACCAGTTTTGATAGTTTGCCAAGGTCCAATGGCGGCTACCACGAGGATACAGCCTAAGCCTGCACAAGAGTTTCACTCACCAGATCGCTGACAAGTGGCAGTGTCTTTTTTCTGCGTAGATCTGGCATGCTGTCAATGCCATAGAGCCCTCCTGCTGGCCTGAGGAGGGAAGAAAATATGTCAGAACCTTTAGTCCTGTCCATTTTCCTTGCTCACCTTTTCCCCGGAGGAAGATGTGCTTTCAAGGGGGGTAAGGAAGACAGGAAGTGAGGGAAATAAAGCCATGGGATGATGAGCAATGGAATCTGCTCTCAGAGTGCACCTACCTGTCTCCTTCTATGGTTTTAGCCAAGGACCTAGAGATCTTTTATCCCATAGTGACAGGCAACTCTGTTTATCTGAAGGACCTTATGCTCCATAAGGCAAGGTGGGAATTGATGGTTAAGAGGGCTCTTCTCTACACTCAGGCCAGAGACACTGCTCCCCCAAAATAAGCCTTTCTTGGCCTGTGCTAGAACAGAGCCCATAGGAATAGCTCTACAGAAGAGCTGCTGCCTAGGTGAGCAAGACTACCAAATAATGACATGTACAAGGAGATCGTCTCCATCCTGAGGAAAAAGGGTCTCCATGGAAAAAGAAGCCCACATCATAAAGTGGAGGCAGGGGAGGTGGGATGGAGACTTCTAAAAGACCATTTAGGAAGGAAACAAGAAAAGAACTCAGAGTGTCTGGTCTATCCCTATGGACACATCAACAGGGACCAAGAAAAAATTATAGCTGGAGATTTCTAAAATTTTTATATTTTTTCTACGTTTATTAACTTTATTGTTCTTTGTCTGTTCTTCCAGAGCAATATCCAACAAAAATACAAAGAATCTCCCCCAAAGAACACCATTTTCACATTGAGATAAGCCAGATTTTATGTCAAACTCTTCTACTAACTCTTTCCATGTCCTCTGCCAAAATTCCTTCCTCTTTTGGGGTCTTGGTGTCACTTCTATAACATGAGGGGGATGAACTACAGTATTTCACTGACCTTTTGGAAGCTGCCATTCTTAGTCTCAATGAAAAGAACTCATGCACTTGGTTTTAATGAGAACAATGAGGTGGGATGTGGGGTGGCTGGGTTGTACACAACAGCTAGTCTGAAAAGAGGTATATCTCAGAAGAATAAGAAGGTACCGCCGGCAATATAGGCCAAAAAAAATTTTTTTTTAAATGGAGCCACAATTTGGGTCAAAGCCAGGAGTTGGAACAGGCAACCTGATATGTTGATTTCTAATAAAGTCGCTTCTTGAGAACAGGCAGTGAATTTTGTTTTCAATGAGACTACCAGACCCAGGGAAGTTCTAAACTTGTGGCAGCTTCCAAGGACTGAGCTGAAGGAAGGAAAGACAACAATAGGGAGGCATTTAGAAAATCATTGCATGGCTCCCTTTAAAAATAGCTTGGATATGTTCCATTGGCATGCATGTATTTTACAATTATTAGAGGGAAAAAGCTAAAGCCCTGAAGAAGGGCTGTTGAAGAAACAACTAGTGCCATGAGTTTGTGGCTAATTCTAAAAACTATAATATATACCATTTAAGACATGAAGTTTTTTGCAACATAGATGAGCTTTTGACGAAGAAGGGTGGTTCATTCACATGATTAACTCTTGATTTAAAAGACAAATCACAAGGAAAAGGAGCACATAAAAATGTAATAGATAAAATTATGATCTGATCCTTTTTCTCCTCTGGTCATGAGGGAGAGGAGGCAGCCACTGAGAATTCTAATGTCAGAAGGTCTATGTGGGAGAGAAGAAAGATCCTGACAAATAATTAATTGGCAGTACATGTGGGGGAAGTGGAGGTAGAGAAGCACTTAAATTATTTTCTCTCTTAAGGACAAGCAGCAGTTGAGCAGTTTAAAATGACTCTCTGCTGCAGTCACATGGGTCTGAAACTCCCAGATAAGAAGCACAGACAAACACATAGAGCTCACAAGGGATGCTACTTATGTCTTGACTAGAGTGAAATGGAACAAGTAGGTGACTCACAACAGCTAAAGCAGGACAGAGCCTAGGGAGAAATCTAATCAGCTATTGCTATCTTCTACCTAGAGTAATCACCCCTATGCAATGGATCAGAAATTCCACAGGCAAGAATGGGGGAGCCCTCAAGCCCCCTCCCCTGCTCCAGGGAACCACTTGGCAAAGCTCTCTCTTCTTCTGCCTCTAAGTAATCAGTTTGTAGAGTTCTCTCCTCTGACCCAGAGAACCAATCAATCCCTACAGTGGAACATCTTCCTTCCCTAGGATCAAGCGTATGAAGTTGTTTCTCCTACTTCCCAGGGGAAAAGCTAAAAGCAGCACTAGGGTCTATTCAAGATCCACAGAAACCTTGCAAGAATCACTTACCCTTCTGGGAGCCACTGGGGCAAAGAGGAGTCGCCATCATCTGGAATCTTTAAAAACAGATAGAAAAAAGTTAGATCCTAGGAAAAAAAGGAGACGGCCATCTTTCGTTGGTAAGGCAGTGAGCAGTAAAGGAGGAAGCTCAGAGGAGTGTAGGTCACATACACCATGTGGTGACATAGCTAGCCTGATGTCTAGGCCAATGCCCTGATGAGCCAAAGGCAACAAGCAGGCTGCTGAAATGAGCAGTACTTCATCTCCCCTCTCCCAAATGAATAGGAAGGATACAAGGCCAAGCTCATTGAAATCTTTGGGCTAAAGTCTACTGGGACTGTGAGAGCTGCCAGAATTTATATGCCCCCACACACAACCCATTAGTATATGTAACAGTAACCAAAGCTGGGAAAAGGATCCATTTAGGCTTCTAGGCCTCACTGAGGCAAAAAGACAACTTCATATAGAATCTGGTCTTCTTCCACTATATTCCTAAATTCCTTTGGCTGCCACAGTCAACCTGGTCTTTCTAAATTCCTCTCATCTTGTGACTTGACTTGGCTTAGGTTCCTTGAAGCCGGAACTCATTGGCACTGAGTTCACTCAACATTTGATAAGTTCTACATTACCAGAGTATCCAAGACAGGTTAGACACTTGGATTATCACTTGGTAAATTTTATGAGTTCTGTAATGAGAAGTTGAACATTGAGGTACCAAATAATTCAAGGACGAAACAGGTTGGAAACAATTTTTAAAGTTTTCTGCACCAAAATACCCAAAGCAAATCCTTCAGGCAGTGTACAGAGTTCCAAAGCTGCCAGGGCTCTCCTGAGAACCAATGGCAAATACTGTTTAGGCTCAAAGGACCCAGCGCGAGTAGGTCTGGGGCTTCCTGCCCTACCTTGTTCCCCTCCACCACCACCAACTTCCCTGCCACCTCAGACCTGGGCTCTCACTAACTATCCCGGAGCACATGAGCTCCAGTACAAGGGAGGCACAAGTAAGTTGCTCTGGACAGGGGGTGAAGTTTTGGGAGTGCTAAAGATGTGAGAAGTTATAGATTGAATGAGGCAAGACAAAGTAGAAAAGGGAGAGGTATGACAGATTAATGGATAATATAAAAGCTGGCAAGAACTACCTTAGGTCAGCTCAAAATGAACTTTGGATTTAGGACTCTTCTCAGGTTGTCTGTGCCCTAATCAAGCCTATCTGCCTCCTGCCCTGGCCTGTCCCAAAAGGCAGCCAGAAGTGGCTGAAGCAAGTCTCCTAAGGTTGTTTTGTGAATGATGGCCATCCCTAAGTCCCCAGGTCCTACCAACCAGAACTTCTATTCCCTTTGAAAAACAATTGCTGTACTGAGCAGATTTTTATGTCCTACCTAGAATTAAATGCTTGCCAGAAAGCACTGGGCTTAAGGAAACAAAGTCACAAAGAGTCTTTGGGAGCCAGGGTTCACTGGCTCAGATCATGCACATTTCCTGTGCTTAGGGATACAGTGGGTCTGCAGAAGCCTGCAGACACAGCAAACAGCATGCGCACACAGGGCACTGAAGGAGGGCCAGGGGAGAGAAAGGAGATCTAGACAAAGGACCTACAGGAGGTACATTCGTAGATACAGCTTGTGCCAGAGGGAAACAAGGTGAGCGTGGGTCCTGCTCTGTAGAGGGCTATAGCACCTGTGCGCACACCCTTTTGGGGAGGATTCAGTGTTCACTAGGGCCCAAATCATAGACAAAGCAAACCCTCTCAGTCTTCCAGAACCAGTGCTTGCAGGCACAGAGCATCAGTGTAGTCTGCATTCACATGGCATAAGGGAGCCACATCACAGGTCTATGGAAGCTTGTGCTCACAAGAGGCCAGGAAATCTGCTCAGAAGCACATTCACACTTAGGGCCACAGGCAAGAGGAACAAAATGCCTGCAGCAACACCTGTTCGCAATACAAAGCGTGTACGCATGCTGGGCTCAGAGAGGGTTTACAGCATATGCCAGGCACAGCAACAAGTAGAAAATGGACACACAAAGTAGGAGAGGAGGAGGGCGATCAGTGTCTGGGGGAGTCAAACTGAGTACAAATATAAGCACACACATGCCACGTTGAATGTGCACCATGCTGGCACACAGATTCTCACACCGTGCTCCAGGGATGTCTGCAGGAGCACACACAAGCACGGAGCATGCACACACACTGCTTTTAGGAAAAACACACGCACTGCTTTTAGGGAAAACAGACTATCTGCCCAGCCAAAGCTCAGAGGCACAGGTCATGTGCACTCGGCACACACACACAAACACCCCGTGCCAGGAGAGAGGGGTAGAGAATAGACAACAAAAAGGCCCCAAAAGGCCAGACACACAACCTGAAGGGCTCCTCGCTTTCCTTCTGCAAGGAGAGAAAGAGCAGAAAAAAAGGGCAGAGCGGTTAGTAGGTTCAGTCCTATAGCAGGGAACCCAAAGAAAATGCCAGCAAACCTCAAGGGACATGGAGGAGAGGGAGAGGTGCTCTGAACTGGGAAGTTCACAAAGCCCAGCTCCCAGAATCTTATATTGCTGGCCCCTGCTTTTATAATGTAGGACATACCAGGTTTGGCTACTTAAACCAAAGGACAAAGTCTGCCTGGGGATTCTAGTCACCTTTTGCCCTTTCCAAAGTAGCCTGCATGCAGGATGAGGGCCACCAGGGTCACCAGACCAGCTCTGTTACCAAGGGCCACTCCAACAGGCCACCTGAGCTCCCTGAGCACAGACTGAGTTTGTTCCTTCCTCAGAAGGTATATGAGCTCACTCTGGATCTGGGCAAGTCCTCAAACCCCAAAGGCTGGTGGCTGAGCCCTTTCCATTTTAAAGCAGAGCTGGCCAAGCATTTGCCCAGCAAGCCCTAGCCTATTTTCTCAGAATCTAAGGTAAGCTAGGCCATGTTAGGGCCTGGAGTTAAGGCCAGGACCAGGATGCTCAACGGCTATAGACTGGGGTTATCTACTGACCACTGCCCTAACGAAAGTCACCATGATCTGGATGATAAAACTATGACTTCAATCTCAGGTCTGATTATTTATCAAATATAGAACAATATTCCAAAGGGAATGAATGCTTCCAGAAGGACCCAAGTAAGCCACAATAGAGGAAGTATAAAGTTCAGAGGTAATTCTTCAGAGACTACATTGACTTCTAGGCCACACATAGACTTTCTTCTCTACAGAAAGTCCAACCACCTGGGCCCATTAGCTCCCCTCTACTTTCTTTTCCCTTCCCTTTAAAGACTCATTGGTGTTACATAACAAATAGAAGGGAGAATCATAGAAACTAATAAATACGTTCCCATTTCAAGCCATTCTGATGACCAAATGGGTCATGTCACTGACAGAAGAATCAACTCAGGAACTGGAATCCTCCAAAACAGTGCAGCTACAGGAAAGTGGGTGAGATGAAAAAGACACTTCCTGGATTGGGGGCGGGGGAACACGTCTTCTCTATATCTATTCCCACCTCTAAGAAAGCACTACATTGCTGTTTCCTTTGTGTGTGTGTGTGTGTGTGTGTGTGTGTGTGTGTGTGGTGGGTTTTTTTTAGCACTCTGTTGTTCCCTTTGAAAAGACAATTAGTCAAGGAACACTTTAATTGACCATGTGACTCAAATTGGAAAGGTTTCTGTCCTCCTCCACTATCTTAAATATATTTTACCATGTCAAAGTTACTTTGTGTCCTTTGGTTCTTCCCAGAGTTCCCCAGTATGCTTAAAGAATAAAATCCAATCTGCTGACAAGGCCATCAAGGCTCCCCCTGATCTGTCCTCTCACATCTACTGGGTAGACCCAGACTTAATTCTTAAGACTTAGCTCAAATGTTAAATGCCTCTGTAAGTTTCTTTATCTGCCTTTCCATCATGTGCCCTTGGTACCCACACTTTTATATGCACACTTCTATAGCAGTATGTTGCTAGTACTGCTTCATTGTTAATTATCTGTATAAATGTCTCCCTAACCTGTTAATTTCTTGAAAGCAAGAATTTTATATATATGCTAGAGGCCCGGTGCACAAAAATTTGTGCTCTCGGGGGAAGGGGGGGTCCCTTAGACCAGCCTGTGCCCTCTCGCAGTCTGGGACCCCTCGGGAGATAACGACCTGCTAGCTTAGGCCTGCTTCTGGGTGGCAGAGGGCAGGCCAAATCCCTAGGTGCAGCCCCTGGTCGGGCTCAGAGCAGGGCAGATTGGGAGGTTGTGATGCCACCCTCAGTCATGCTCAGGGTAAGGCCGATTGGGGGGTGAGGCACCGCCCCGTCACACTCAAGGCAGGGTCGATGGGGAGGTTGCGGTGCCACTCCCTGTCACGCACAGAGCAGGGCCCAGCAGTGGGTGGAGGAGCTCCCCGCTGTCACTCAGAGAGTAGGGCTGATAGGGGAGTTGGGGCACCGCCCTCTATCACCCACAGAGCAGGGCTGATCAGGTGGTTGGGGCACCGCCACTCTCATACTCAGGGCAGGGCCAATGGGGAGGTTATGGCTCTACCCCGTCACACACAGAGCAGGGCCCGTGGGGTGGGGGGGTTGGGGCCCTGCCCCCTGTCACACACAGAGCTGCAGGGAGATCAGGGGGTTTGGGCGCTGCCCCCTGTCACGCTGATCCCGGTGCCAGGAGGCCTCACGGCTCCGCTGATCCTGGTGCTGGGAGGCATATTACCCTTTTACTATATAGGGTAGAGGCCTGGTGCAAGGGTGGGGGCCAGCTGGTTTGCCCTGACGGGTGTCCTGGATCAGGGTGGGGGTCCCCACTGAGGTGCCTGGCCAGTCTGGGTGAGGGGCTGAGGGCTGTTTTCAGGCTGGGGGTGACTGAAGCTCCCAACCGCTCCTTTTTTCCTTTTTTTTTAAATTCTGGGCCAGCTTTAGCTTGAGGCTTGGCTCCAGCTCTTAGGCCTCCGCTGCTGAAAGTAGGTTTCTGGCATTTGCATACAATGTTGTGATCCTGCTGGCTGAAGTCCAGAGGGATTTGTTACATAGTTTCTTAAACTGCAGGCTCAGAGGCCTGCAGCCGCAGGCGGGGGACATTGGTTTCCTCCGTCACTGAGGCAAGCAAGCCTCATGTTAGTTTCAAGCTGCCTGGCTGCCGGCCGCCATCTTGGCTGTCAGTTAATTTGCATATCTCGCTGATTAGCCAATGGGAAGGGTAGTGGTCATACGCCAATTACCATGTTTCTCTTTTATTAGAGTAGATATATCTTAACTTCCTTGTACTTGGGATCCAAAAGACTTGAGGCACTGATTTATTTAAGCCTGCATTTCCTAATCTGTAAAACGTAGATAAGAACAGCTACCTCCAGGGTTATTGCAGGGATTCCTTTCTTCAACAAATACTTACTGAGAACATATTGCACGCTAGGCACCAGCAATGCCGCAGTGAATGAAACAAACTCCCTGATCTTGAGAAGTTCTACTCTAATAGGAGGAGCAGACAATTAATAATGGTGGTGAAGATGACGATAATAGCTAACACTATGTGAACATATTATGTAACTGGCATTTTATTTAAATAATTTCATTTATTTCTCATAACAACTCTCCTGGGTAAATACTATTAGTATCTCAACATTTTTGTTAAACTGAAGATCCGAGGGATTAAAAAACTTGCTTAAAGTCACAGCAAGTGGCAAAGCCAAATTCAAACCAGGCATTCTGGTTCCATATCATGTGTGATAGGGGCTCTGCTAAAAACTGCAAAGAGGCAAAGATAATGTCCCCTGTGATCATGTTACAGTTGCTATTAAAATTTCATAAAAGGTTATAGGAAGGCCTCGTTGATAAAATGACATCTAAGCAGAGACCTGAAAGAAATGAGTATAGAAGCTATTCAGAATTCTAGGAGGAAATTATTCCAGTCAGAGAACATGCAGTAAATGCAAAGCCTGAGGTTCAAGCATAATTGGTGCGAAGCAAGTATGCAAGAATGCCAGTTCCAATAGGGCTCTATAGGCCCTTATAAACACTGTGTCTTTCATTCCGAGTGAGACAGAAAAATCATTGGAAGGCTGTGAGCAGAGAAGTGATATGATCTGACTCATTACTCTGCTGTGGGGAGAACAGACTGTAGAAGAATAAGGGTAGGAGTAGGGAGACCAGTTAGACTACGCAATCATCTATTCTAGATCAAAGAAAATGGTGGCTTAGACAAGGATGACAGTGATAAAGACAGAAATGTGGTAAAATTCAGGATTTTAAAAAAAAGATAAAGCAGGCAGAATTTATTAATTGATTGTATGTCAGTTGTGAGAGAAAAGAAGTCATAAATGACTCTGGATTTGGGCACAAGCAGCTGCAGAGATGGAGCTGCCATTTACTGTTAAGGACAAGTACAAAAAAGCAGATTTGGTAGGACTTGAGGAGCAGGAGTTTGATTTGGGTTATGTCAAATATGTAATGCCTATCTACATCCAAATGGGATATTAAGTAGATGTGGAATCTGGTGTTCATGAAGATTCTGGGCCAGATATATAAATCTGGAAATGCTTATGAAACTCATAAGATTGGAAGTGATTACCTAGGAAACAAGTATCAATTTTTTTAAAAGTAGTGAGGACTGAATACTACAAGGTTGGGAAGATGAGGAGGAACAGTCAATAATGATGGGGGGAAACCAAGACTGAGAACAATGTTCTGAAAGTCAAGTGAAGGAAGTGTTTCCAAAAGAAGAAATTGAGGCATAAGGATAGTCAATGGAACAGAATTGGAATCCAGGAATAAACTCTTACATTTATGGTCAATTGATTTTTGACCAGGGTACCAAGACCATTCAATGGGGGAAAGAACAGTCTTTTCCAGAAAATGGGGCTGAGATAACTAGATATCCACATGCAAACAAGTGAAGTTGCACCCCTATTCACACAATCTACAAAAATTAACTCAAATTGGATCATATACACTTAAATGTAAGAGCTAACACTATAAAACCTTTAGAAAAAACATAAGAGTAAATCTCTATGACCTTGTATTAGACAATGGTTTCTTAGCTATGAAACCAAAAGCAGAATCAATATAAGAAAAAAACAGATAAATTGAACTCCATCAAAACTTCACTTAAAACTTTTGCACTCTACTTCATTATAATGGTTATTACAAAAACCAAACAAACCAAAAACCCAACACTCCAGCAGGGAGTAACAAATGTTGTCAAGGATATGGATCAAGTGGAACCTTTGTGCACTGTTGGTGGGAATGTAAGATGGTACGCCCACTGGAAAACAATATGACCATGCCTCAAAAAATCAATTACTATATGATTCAGCAATTCATTTCTGGGTGTATACCCAAATAAATGAAAGCAAGAACTCAAACAAATATGTGCACACTCATATTCATAGCAGCATTACTCACAATAGCCAAAAGATGGAAGTAACTCAAGTGCCCATCAATAAATTAATGGATAAACAAAATGTGGTGTATGTACATACAATAAAATACCATTCAGAAAGGAAATAGAGTACATTTTGCTAGGTTGATATGATGAACACAGCACCTTAGGATAGAAGGAAGCATGTATAAGTGAATATACTGAGAACAGAAAGTACAAGGCAAATTTGAACGACAGCAAAGTTTCCTTTAGGGTGGAGTAGAGTGGGACTATGGGAGATGCAAACTAGAGACCAGTTGTAGTGGTCTGGAATGCTAAGAGAAGGAATTTAGACTTTTTGGTAAACTCTAAGGAGCAGCCCTAGGATATTTGAAAGTGACATGATTTAAAATTTTTATTTTTAATTTAATTTTATGACTTGATATTACAACTACTGGACTCAAACTCTAAAAGAATATTAAAAGATATTAATGAAGAATTTTCTCATCCCATTAGTTTTTCACCTAATACCTTTTCCCACAGGAAATTGTGCATCAGTTTTTTTTTGTATCTTTGTTACATATTCTATACATATACAAACAGACACTATGGGTTTGGATGTGTATTCTTTCCCACTCCTATTTATACAACTTTGGACATCTTAGACATACTGTTCTGTACCTTGTTTTAATCACATGTCAACTTATCTTAGACATCTTTCTATTTCAGTAAAAAGCTACCTTATTCTTTTTATAGCTACACAGTACTGTATCCCCTTGCTTGGACATGCCAATAAGTTATTTAACCAGTCTTTCTTAATGAGCAGTTTTAGGTTGTGTTCAATCTTTGCTATTAAAAACAATGCTTCAAAAACAACCTAGAACATACGTCCCTTTCACAGGTGAAAATATACCTGCAGGGTATATTCCTGGAAATGATATTGGGGCTCAAAGGGTACATACAATTCTGATAAATTTCCAACTGCCTTCCTTGGGTTATACCAATTTACACTCCCATCCCACGAGCAATGTGTGAGTACCTATTCCCTTGCACCTTTGCCAACACAATATGTTTCATAATTTTAATTTTGCTTTAGAAAGATTAATCAGGTTATATGCATAAAAGGACAACTCCATTTATATTTAAAACTGGATGAATGCAGTGTATGCTCTTTGGGTAAATTTAAATTTGACTGGGAGAAGTAATTTTAAAGCTACGTATCTCCATACTGCCTAGAAAAAGTTCTCGTATTCCTTGTAGTCAAAACCATTCCATTCTCTGGTTCTTAGGTGAGCAGCCTTTAGGTGGAGATGGAAGAATGGAAACACGACCTGGGGAGGGCACAGTCAGGCCCTTAGGTAGGGTCAGCACTCTGAACAGTTTCTGGACAGCTCCAAGTTGTAAATAAGGTTCTATGTTGTCAAGTCCAGAACCAGGAAGGAGGCAGGTGGGGATAGCGGAAATTCCCAGAGTGGCCTATGAAGTGCAGAAGCCCCATCAGCTGCTGGGGAAATGGCAATCTTATCTCAGCAAGAAATAAGAATAATTTTTAAATGCAACGTAGCATTGTGTTAGCCCCTCTAGTGCCTGTGAGTCAATATGCCTCATCCCCCCATTCCTGCCTCTTACTCTGCAACTACTTCACTCTGGAATATCCTAAAAGTTCTACAGCTGCAAACTGATTCTGCCCAAATGTTCCTCCCTCTTTTGAAAAGGTACTTTCTAAAGACACACACACACACACACACACACACACACACACACACACACACACACACACACACACACCATTGCTATATAGGAAGTTCCATAGGGACAGGAACTTCTTTCCTGTTGCTTTTAGAACCCTTTCACCCTAATTCCCACAGGATTAGTTTAAAATTTATACTCAAGTAATTTAGACTGATTCAAGCTGTGAACCTCCCCCTTCACCTTGTGAAACTCACCACCGAGCTAGGTCTTATGCTGGCCACAGAGAGCCCCTACCCAGCCGCAACCCCATTAAATAGAGACTCGGAATACCTGGGTGCACGTCTTCTATCGAGAGATGGTTTGCCTTCTGGACCAGATCATGCAAAAGTTTTTTCTGCCTCAGTCTTTTCTCTCTTAGAACATTTTTAAAATTGTTGATGCACTTGTTGAGGTAGATGGTCTCTGCACACACTTGCTCTAAGCTTAGTCTGCCCTGCTTGGGAGATTCGGGCCTAGAACACGTTTCACTTTCCAGACCTGGAGCCAGAGTCAAACCTGGCAATGAATATGCAAGAGGTGAGTTATGAGAAGCCAGAGAGAAGTTGCTGGGATCCTGAGAGGTTTGGTCTCCCTGTGTGGAGATGCCCACTCTCCCAGAGACCACACTGAGCAAACTCTCACTCCCCTGGCTCCCAGGGCTCCCCACAGAGAAATCCTGGGCACCCCCTGAACTCGTTGTCCCGAGAAGTCTATCACTGTTCTCTGACTGGGAACAGCTCTCATTGCTTTCCAGGTCCTCAGGACTGACTGACCCACTGTTCTCCAGCTTCTGAAACACGCCCTGCAGAGCTGAACGAAAGTGGTGAATTGCTCGGCCCAGTTTACTTGTATAAAACTTAATTTCTACATCTTCATCCTCCTGCGAGCCACCCACACCACAAGAGGACTTTTCAAAGACATCTTTAAGGACTTGAGCAGCACATTCCTCCTCTTCATTCAAGTCAATAGGAACCATGCCACTGAGAGTCTCAGGCCCTATGATAATTTGCTCCATCATGCTGTCACAGCTCAGAGCTGCAAACCTTCTGGACTTGTCTGTCAAAAGGTCCTCTAGCTGCTTTGAGCTCAGAATATCAAGTCCGGCTTCACAGGACAGGAGCTTGTCCTCTGTCTTCAGCAACCCAGACAGTGACAGGCTGCTGCTGTCCTCACGTTTATCGCTGTAGTTGTTTTCTCTTTTTGCTACTTCACATGCTTCAAGTCCTTGACTACATGGTGTGAAAACCTGGGATTTCCCAGAATCCTCCTCTTTTGAGATTAATACTAGGGAAGGTTCCTCTAACTGAGGAAGGGCAGACAGAGAAGCCTCTCTCTGTGTCAGTTCACCACGGCTGCCACTGATGACTTGGGATGTTTCTGGTGTTCCTTTTACTTCATCCTCTGGTTTAGACAAATCACTTGGCTTTGCTACATTGTCCTTGGGTGGGAAGCAAAGGCTTTGCTGCTCAGGGATCAAGGGTTCTCTAAGCTGATTCTGGGTCCTCATCTGATATGCTCCATTCAAGGGTCCTCTATCTTCTCTTTCGACATGAAGAACTGGTTTGTCTGGGATTAAGTAACTTGAATTATGATCCTGAAGCTGTTGCTGCAAAAACGATAGAGACTCCTTTGGGGAATGCTTACTGCATTCCCCAAAGCACTGTAGCCAGATTGGTTCTTCTTTGGTGGCAATCTGGACCCCTACACTTTGCAAGAGTATGGATTTCTGCAGGATGAAGTCTCTGTGCTCCACATGAGCAAGCTTCACAACAGTGGGCCTGGGGGCCTGGGCACTGCCTGCCCTATAAGCCTCTTTGATGTACCTATTGCACTGCATGCCATTAACACAGACATGCTTGGCCAGGAAGCTGTGCACCAGCTCCAAGGTATTTTCCCCATCTTGCTCAGGAAGTCCATACAGATACAGAATGGCTTCCTCATGAAGCCTTTCCACCTGGGGCTCCTGGACCTCTCCTCCTGCACACACCTTCGCAAGGGAGCTGCTGCCCACCTGCAAGCCTATTCCACTCAGAACTGAGTCTACACAGCTAGAGACTTCATCCACCGAACCCTGGACTTGGCTCAAGTGCTGCTGCAGCTCAGCAATCTCAGTTTGGAGACGACTGATGCCTTGCAGCTCTCTGATTATATAGTCCACTACATCCCCCAAAGGTTCTTGTTGTTCAAGGCTCCAGCCTTGGCCCCTGGACAAAAGGAACTTGGCTTGATTCCCTTCTGAGGGCTCTTGACAGCTGGTGGTAGTGCTGGCAGATGAGAGGTCCTGAGAGCCAGACCCTGAGGCACAGGCTGTGGAGCCCAGAGGAAGCGGACTGCTGGCCTCCTGTCCAAAGCTGCTATACGGGGCCAGGCCCCCCTCTCTCTCCCCACTAATGGCTGAGGCTGTTGACCCACAGCAAGGGGGCAAGGAGCTGTCCTCTGGTAAGGATTCAGCAGGTCCTGAGGACTTGCTCTTGATGCCACACATGGTCTCTGCCTTAGCTTTATCTGGGGAAGTCCTGGAGGAGGGTCCCAAGGTGACCATGATTTCTTCCTCTGACTCTTGCAACAATCGCTTCATTTTCTCCCTCTGGGTTTGAGGGATTCTCTGTTTCTTCCTCTTATTTCTGATCAGGTTGCTTACTAGAGATTGTCTTGGAAGGCAATACCCTGTCCTGCTCTTTTCAGGCTACTTCTAGCAATAATTGCTGGCTGATGCCTTGGGCTTAGCCCACAGTGTTGCCTGGATTGGTCCCATGTGTGGTCTCCAAACCTGGCACATGCCCCTGGAATCCTGGCTTGACTCTTATCCTGCAGCTAGTGAAAAAGGAAAATAGTGCACTCAGGTCAGAAAGCAGCAGAATACTTTTAACCTGAATCAAACTGTCACGCAGGGATTAGAATATTACCCTCTAAGACTGAAAGTCAGCCCTGACTTGTCTCCCCATGCTGGTCTTAAAGGCTATAAGCAATCAGTTCTCTTTCCTTGGCTTTTCATCAGAGTATTAATATAAAACTGAATCAAGCCCTTGTGTAAGTACCCAAAGGCACAAGGATTGAGACAAACTCCTGGGAAGTAGGTGGGGGTGAGGTCAATGAGTAACCGAATCTTCATAAAATTCAACACAAGGGTCTGGCTCAGGAATGAACAAATAGATGCTTAACTACCAAAGCTCAAGTCACATACACAGTGAACGAATGACAAAGACAAGATGTAGAATGTTATTTTTCTTTTTTCTTAGTTGGTTGTTCTGGTGAAGGCTCAGCTACTCAAGGTTCACTCCTGCCTGTGCTGATGCTCTATATTCACAAGAACTTATAGCACAAAGTGACAGCAACCCCTCACTGGAGAAAGGACTGTGGCAAGTATTTAAAACTTGGAAGGGAAAAAATGTTTTCTATACCTAGTTCTAGAATAAGGTAGCACAGTGTGGGCATACTTACTATCCAGACTCAGGAGGCATTTAGCATGTTTGGATTAGAGGGCCAGATGGCCAAAGGCACATATATGATGGGCTCACAGGTGGGGATGAAAGAGGCTCAAGCTTAGCTGGAGTTCTGAACTCCATTTCATAGTCTCTAAGGGCTTGGTGCAGCCTAATCAATACACAGGTTTTGACTCGCCTGGCCCACAGAGCATCTGGTCTAATGCCTTCTTTAGAACACCAAGGGAAGTGATTTTCTTGAGTAACAAGAGGGTTGGTTTAGCACTCTGATTGGCCTGTGAAGGACAGGTGGAGAGTTGATTATATCACAGAGGGCTCCACAGTGCTTTGCTGTTCTCCAAAAAGACTGTCCTGCCACCAGTCTTGCCCCTACTACCTAAGCTATTGGCACCTGTACTACAGAGGCTGAAATTGACTATTGCCTTACGTGAGGTGGGCATCCATTCTCTTTTTACTGGAAATGTACAATATAGGGAAGGAGCTGAGTGGAAAGTACAAAGGGGAAAGCAGAGAGCCCAGGCAGGCATGGAACTGCCAATACTCTGGCTCTGCTGGGTCACCATGGGAAGGGTAAAACCAGAGATAGTTTCCCCAATTTCTAGATTTGATCGGGATTTCTAAATCTTTTAAACCCTTGCCTCCTATTCTTTTTCCAGTACTCAAGTTAATCCCAAAAATGGAAAACAGCATGTGAAAAAACAAACTGACTGCCCTGGCCAGATTTGCTCAGTGGTTAGAGTGCAGGCCCTTGGACCAAAGGGTTGTGGGTTCAATTCCCAGTCAAGGGCATGTACTTCATTGCAGGTTCGATCCCAGCCCAAGTCAAGGTGTGAGCAGGGGGCGACCAATAATCTCTCTCTTTCTCTTTCTTTCTCTCTCTCTTTCTCTCTCTCTCCCTTCCACTCTCTGAAAAATCAGTGAAAAAAATATCCTTGGGTGAGAATTTAAAAAAAGAAAACAAAACAAACTTACAGTTCCCACTGCAATTCATTTTCAGGAAAGGCAGCCATCTATGGTCTATGGGCCTAAAAGTTAAAAGCACTGTGCCTCCCAGACTAGGAAGAACCAGAAGGATGAGTCACAAGATTTGGGATAAAGATGAAGCTGACTCTTTTTACTGGAAATAACTAGGCCAAGAATCAAGAAACAGAAACTAGATTAATTCCCATTTCATTTCTTCCCTTTCTAGTTCACCTAAAAACTCTACTTCATCTAGGAATTCCCCATCTAAGAACTCTACCCATCCTCTAAGGAAGCGGTTCTCAACCTGTGGGTCGCGACCCCTTTGGCGGTCAAACGACCCTTTCACAGGGGTCACCTAAGACCATCCTGCATATCAGATATTTACATGACGATTCATAACAGTAGCAACATTACAGTTATGAAGTAGCAACGAAAATAATTTTATGGTTGGGTCACAACATGAGGAACTGTATTTAAAGGGTCGGAGGTTGAGAACCACTGCTAAGGCATTTGAAAGGCCTAATTATTGCCTTTCTTTTTATTTACTTATTTATTTTGGTTAATCCCCACCCGAGGATATTTTTCCATTGGTTTTTAGGGATAGTAGAAGAAAGAGGGAAAGACAGAAAGAAACATCGATGTGAGAGAAACACATTGATCGGTTGCCTCCTGCATGAGCCCGGACCGTGGCTCGGGCCCGGGAGGAGCCTGCAACCAAGGTATGTGTCCTTGACCGGAATCGAATCCGGAACCCTTTGGTCTGTAGGCAGATGCTCTATCCACTGAGCCAAACCGGGTAGGGCTTTTTAATTTTTTAAAATATATTTTTATTGATTTCAGAGAGAAAGGGAGAAAGAGAAAGAGATAGAAATATCAATGGTGAGAGAGAATCATTGATTGGCTGCCTCCTGCATGCCCCCTACTGGGGATCAAGCCCATAACCCAGACATGTGCCCCAACCAAGAATCGAACAATGACATCCTGGTTCCTGAGTTGATGCTCATCCACTGGGCCACACCTGCCAGGCTGATCATTGCTTTTCAGGCATTATTGCTTTACTCCAACGTCTCAAGGGTCTGAGGTCAGCCAGACCCCTAATCTGGCCAACTCAATCTAGTCTGTGTGTGAGAGAGGAGATGCTCTATATTCACAAGAACTCCTGGGCCTTGGGCTTAGTGTCCAGCTGCCTAAGCAGCAAAGTCCTCAATTCTGGTACTGACTTGTAAAATTATTCCTTTTCTCCTCCAATAGGCACAAAATTTATATTTCTAAAGCCACTCCTTTCTTTTCTCCCCAACTGTGCAAGGTATTAGCACCCTGGCCCTAGAAGGGCTGGAGCTGGTAATTAGCCTTTCAAGTTTATCTCAAGGAGAAAGACTGCTTACTGAACCAAGATGAAAGCTCTGTGTATAACCACATGATGCCATGAGCAAGTGCTACTAGACTGAGACTCAGAAGACTTAAGTTTGGGTCTTCCTTCACCAGTGACCCTTGATTAAACATTTGACCTATCTGTGTCTTAGATTCTTTACCTGTAAAGGGGAAAGTAGGAATGCTATAACGCTAAAATGTGAGGCTGGTAATTGGTAAACAATAAAGAACTGCAGTGTTATTATTACTGACATGGCAAGTCCCTGAGACAAAGAAGCAGTGAAACTAATATCTAAGCCAAGCATGCAACCATCTAAATAGTATGATTTGAGTGAACCATGACTTCTATTCCAGCCCCAGCCCCATACCTTTCCCAGTCACTTCTAATAATGATCTACAGCAGTGCCTGGAATCCGACCATTAGAGTGACATCCTTTGGTAGTCTTGCTTCCTTCTAGAAGTTTTTTTTTTTTTCCTTTATGGTAAGAAAAAGGAGGAGCAAAACATTCGGGTGACAAGAGGTTTGCCATCCTCCCTCAGGCAAACTGAAGTATGAGTAAGGGACAATAGGTACAGGAGGCAAGCTTTTCCTTTCTAATGCTCGTAAGGCCCAGAACTCATTTCCAGGTCCTCCAAGTCAGCCTCACTTTCGTATAGATGAGGTATTTTCTCAGGAACAAAAATGAAGCTGACTCGCCTGCTATTGCTTCAGTGCAGGCCAGGTTAACTTTGGGCCTATCTGCTCCTGCCCCTCAGATCAGTACTCTGGAATAGATAGTCTTGGCCTAACTTCCTGCACATCTTGCCAGGTGAACCCTCCAAGAGTGCAGTGCCTACAACACTTGCTGGCCAGCCGCACAGGGGCAAATGGCACAGCCATGTATTCAGAGCCCTTTCCTATGGCCTCCTAAAGAACTGAAGGCAAAGTTGCTTGGTTTCCTATGTTACTGACAAATAGGAAATTTCCAACTACAGCTGCCATAGCAACTTCTCCCAGCCCCAAACAAAGAACTTTGCTCCCATATTAAACAAACAAGCAAAACCCTTCACAACTTCTTTTGAATTGGTAGTCACTATGCCTGGATGAACTCTGAACTTAAAAATCACCTCCTGAACCTTAATCAATAAAGAAATTTTTTAAAAAAGCAAACCACCTCCTGGGGATACAGGTTTCCTAAACGCACAAAATCCACTCAGTTATTCAGATATTTAAGTTCTGAAGCAGGGGACAGAGCCCAATGTGATGCCCAGAGGATCAACCACTCTGCTCAGAACCCAATAGGATACCAAAAGCCAGGATGGACTGAAGGGGCAAGCTTCAGGGTCAGGAGGCCTAATTCAAGGCCATCTCCTTCCCCATCCTCTCTTTGCTACTACTGTCCATAGGAATGAAATAACAGGGGCCAAAATAAGAGAAGGACAATTTGATCTCTAAATCAATTCAATCAATGTGCCAGGCACTAAGCTATGTGCCAGGGATATGAGGCATAGTTCTTGTTCTCTAATATATTAAGGTCTGGAGCAAGAGATAGGCATATAGACAATCACAAAATAAAGTGATACATATTATAATAGAAGGTGTAAAAACGTAAATAAAAGCATTTCATTATAGGGATGAATAATGTGAAGGCAGAGAGAGGCCCAGTAAAACCTGGACAGGGAAGGCCACAGACAAGTAATATTTGAGCTTATGGGATAAGGAAGCCTTGGGGTCCAGCCAGCTCAAACCTGGCCCTTAGTTTCCTCTATTACCTATCCAGTCCTGTCACTCTGCTCTATCCTGTTGGTCTATCCACTTTCCAAATCTTATACATATACTCTCAAATATAATACCTTTCTGCAATCTCTCCCTAAGGAATGTCTAAG